TTAGCGACTACTTCCGTTTCCTCGACCCGCCACCCTGGCTACTCTACAAATACGAAATAGTACACATCCGGTTCCTTTAGTAAAATAAATAGGCAGTGACTGTTTCCGTTTCCACATCATTTTAATTAATTAGAATTTAGCTAAATATATGTATTTAAGTAATTAACCTTAGTTACAGAATTGAGTTTATATTTTGATTTATTTAAAACAGTGCCGATGTATTTTATTTCTAATTGTTTTGATATTACGAATAAACAGCCGCTTAGTTTCCGGTGAAATTATTAGGATAGGTGGGAGTATTTGTCAGACGGCTATATAACTGCTTGTAACGTTGATTGTGGGGTATTCTGTCCTGTGTTTAATAAGGAGTCACTCTGCCGGATTATACGTGTAAAGTGTCTATCTATATTGTGTTATTTCTCTAACCTAACCGACGTCTTAACACGTCAGAAGTGGGATAGTTGGAGTCAACATGTCTGGCCCATACATTACCGGCTTAGGGCAAAGGAAGAGAAAACATAACGACTCTGAATCCACGACCACCGAAGAAGAAGAAATTTCTAACCATCTGCAGGAAAAAAACGCAGATTTTTTTTTGGTACCCGACCAGAACGAGGATTATTCGACGTCACGCAAAAAACGTCGTGTCACATCAGCTGACGCCGAATTAATCCCAAAATTCCGGCCAGAAGACAAAAACAACAATGTTTCTGGGTGGTTACATAAGATCGACCAGCTTGGAGACATTTATGATTGGAGCAGCAAGGATCGGCAATTTATTATGCAGCTACGTCTTCGAGGAACGGCTAGAGATTGGTATGACGATTTAGACGACTACAACCTCACTTGGGAACAATGGAAAAACACCCTACAAACCGCGTTTCCTCGATCTACAGACTTTGTGGATAAACTAGAACAAATGTTAGCAAGGACGAAGGAAGATGGTGAGTCAATGACAAGATATTATCATGAGAAATTGTCATTGCTACGTAAATGCAACATAACCGGAGAGGATGCTATTTCTTGCATCATTCGAGGACTACCGGCCGAATTAAGAAATAATGCAAAGGCCTATAAGTGTGAAGCGCCAGAACAGCTTTATTTTGGATACTTGTCGTCGTTGGAGAACTTCGAGCGAGTTGAATCAGCTAATTCAACACGCAAGTCTACATGGAAGAGGGGTACTGCGAATACGAATATATCAACTGGGGGACCGGTGCAGCTAGTTCCAAGGCTGTGCTTCGTGTGCAGGCGACCTGGACACGAGGCACGAGACTGCAGGATTCAACGCTGCGATATCTGTCAACGTCCTGGGCATGCGGCGGATTCCTGCTGGTATGCAGCGAGTTCCTCGCGACAACAAGGTCAGCAGGTTAGCAACATTTTACATATTACTTAAGACATTTATAAGCGAACTGGGTTTGTGAATGAGGCGCGATTAATTGCGTATATTGACACCGGGAGTAAACTTAACATACTTAAAGTTAGTGCGGCAAATGAATTACAACTCTTAATGTATCGTCGACAGTACAAATGAAAGGATTTAGAGGTGGTTATTTACAATCTCTAGGGAGAAGTGAAATTGTAGTTTTAATTGACAATGTAGTTCGAGGGCAGTGTTGAAATAACTGACAGACTTCATAATTGCACAATCTATGATTAACCAAAAAGATATTAGTTTAGTCACTACAGCTACTTCTGCAAGTTTTGTGTGATTACTTACGAACCTATCATCGGGTCTTAAACTAAGTAAAGATGAATTTATTACAAAATATTCATGGTTTTTAAAAGACAAAATCACTATACCAAGATATAGTTATGCATTGATTGAGACTTATTCAGACATCGATAGAATTGGTCAACAAGAGCACACGTTTCTCACTAATGCAGTATACTTTGAATTAGGGAATATGTCTTATTTTTTAAATATGTTTTAAATTTTATCCCAGAAAGCATAATAAGTTCAAAACAGCCATCAGGTGCCAATAAATCCAGATTCTGTAAGCAAAACTGCGTTCGTTACACCGTCAGGACAATATGAATTTTTGAAAATGCCGTTTGGTTTAGCTAGTGCACCTGCAGTTTTCTCGCGACTTATCCAAATGACGCTAGTTAGAGTCAGTAGGGACATAGTTTTATATTTAGATAACGTTTTGGTACCTACGGTTGGCTTTTGTGACAGGTTGAGATTATTAGAACAGGTTTTACAGTTACTGAGTAGAGCAAACTTGAAACTTAACCTAAAGAAGTATTATTTTCTGAAACCAACCGC